ACATGTATCAATTCCACACCACGAATGTAATTATGTATTAGAATGTATATTACTAATACAAATGGTAAAAAAATAAAAATTATTGGCAATAAATCTAACAGACTGAAAAAAAACCCGAGTTCCTCAGATCACCAGATAAAAACATGCAAAATTGATCCAATACTATGAATGTGAACTATTTTGTTCCAAGAACTAATGGAATTTGTAGCACAAGCATCTTAGCTATCTTAAGTGTGTTTATACAAATTTAGATATTTTTTTTCTTTTCCCTTCCTTTACCCCCTCCTTTTCCAAGATATTATTTTCCCCCCTTTGAGCAAATTCTTACCCTGTCATCATATTTATTGAGGATTTTGTATCTTATGTACTCTTACCATTTCTTACACTAGGGAGATAATACAGTAGTTACAGATGTGAGTTTGATTTATTTCACTTATGAGTTTGGTCTCAAGATACATCCATTTACCTATACAAATGTGATCATTCTTATTGCTGAATAGTACTCCATTGTATAAAAATACCACAATTTTTTATGCATTCCTCAGTTAAAAGACACTTAGGTTGTTTCCAAGATCTGGCTATTACAAATTGTGCTGCTGTGGGTGCACATATATCACTGTGGTATGACATTTTCAGTTCTTCTGGGAATATGCCCAGAAGTGGAATAGCTGGGTCAAATGGGACTTCCAATCCCAGCTTTTTGAGGAACCTCCAGACTGACCTCCACAGTGGCTGCACCAGTCTGCACTCTGCAGTATATATATATTTTTTTTCCTAAAACTTTTTCATATTTAGTGTGATGCTTCCCAGTCATTTTTCAATTAGTTGGGACTTGGAGTTTTTTCATACCGTACAGTCTTTGTCTAGAGTACTGGGGATATAACATTCCTTAAAGAACTCCCTAAAGAAACTGAAAGCAGTTGGCACTAATCTCTTGATTTAAGGTAGGTTGGCAGATTTAAACCCCGCATCTGGAGCAGCAGTTCTTAGCTGAGCATGCATCCCAAAGGATGGCAGGACAACTTTCAGAAACTGATTCAGTGGATCGAGCCTGGGGCCTGAGACTTTGGATTTTCTCCAAGCTCTGGACCAAGGACCACAGTGAATAGCACTGATGTCAGGGTGGCCCACTCTGCCTCCTTCAGGAATGTTACTGAAGACATCTTCTTTCCTACTTTCTTACTCATTCCCCATGACCATTGCTTTACTGTAGGCTGAGAGGGTACACCTCTGCTTCTCCTAGAGTTTCTTCCAAATCCTCGAGACCATGTGGAGAATTTTATGCCAGTGCTAATGCTGGAGCATGATCAGGCTGTGATGGCTGTGTCCCACCTACCATCTGGCTGAGAGCAACCTTAACATTATTGAAAACGAATCCAGATTTCCAAGATATTCAATTGGCAATGGGAAAAGGGAAGAGAGAGTGCATCTTAGAATTGGCAAAATATGGTAGTTAAACTTCTTTACATGCCTTCAGGGAGGGTAAGGGCCAGGTCAGGCGAAACACAGAGATGGGAGCCCCTCTGCAGGCCCTGGGCCTCTGGGGCTACTCAAATAGTAAACGGGGCTGACCTGCAGCAGGGAATGGAGCTGCAAGGGTCCCTCTGGGAAAGACCTCCTGCCTTCTGTTATCACTGCTGAGGATTCAGCCAGATGGCTTACTCTGGTGATTCACGCGTAAACTACTCGGTCTTCTTTTTTTTTTTAAACAATGCTGTGAGAAAGCCTTCAGTATAATTCATCCTAGTACACTATTACAAAGGCAACTTGCATTTTGTGGGTTAAATAATGCAGAGCAGCTGTGGGTGGAGGGCAGATGGCGTGAGCTCACAGCAGCTGGGGGCTGCTTGTCTTCATTTGTGTCACGGACAGAAGGCTTCTTTTTAGACAAGGGATGGCCCTTGGTCACCCAGCCGGATCACATGTGGAGCCTGCAGGGATCTGGCTAGGCTAGTCTGCCTAGTTTTCCTGCCTTTAATGAACTCCCTGGCTGATCTCTCCCACCTCCCTTTGCTTCCTCTTTCTGTGAGCACATCCATTTGTTTAAGCCAGTGGTTCTGAACTGGGGGATGTTTTGCTGCCAGGCATTGAGCAGTGTTGGGAGACATTCCTGGTTGTCACAAGGAGCAAGAGTGCTAGCATCTGGAAGGAGAAGGCCAGAGATGCTGTTGAGTGTGCCACTGTCCTAGGACAGGCACCCCTGCCAGGATTGTTCCTGTGCAGCACATCCATGATGCAGTGGCTGAGAAGCCTGGCCTCACAAGCAATGCAGCTACTGAACCCAGGACGGAGTGCAGATCTATTGGGATCTTTCTGGAAATTTGGAAAAAAGAATAAACAGAATGGATGAAGTGACTCTTCAGCAGAGCGTGCTATAGCGCCTTGCACTGTGAGGTTGTAATTGGATATAAAAAGCTTTAATGCATTCAGTCATACCTTTGGATGTTTTCCCCAACATTGAGATGATATTTTGACCAGAAGGTGCAGACTCCCAGCCAACTTCAGGAACAAATTCCTTCATTAATCCTCCACTCCTCACACTTGACTGTGCATACCAGCTTCTTGGGAATCTGGTGGATGTTTGGGTTTTAACCCAACTGGTAAAAGCCTGACATCCTGCATCTGTCACCAGTTTCCAGGAAGTGTCTATGTTGTAAGTGCATGGATGAGACAAGGAGCAGCGAGGCATAAATCCCAGCCAGGCGGCAGGACTTGGTTCATTGTATGTAGATGACTTAGAGGATGACAGAGTCCTTTGTGAACCTCCATGTGCCCACAGTCAGCATCCTGCACATCCAGGATGCAGTATGAGTTGGACAACTCCTCTGGTTGGACCAGATTGCTCATTCCAGTTTCAACTGTCACACCCCAAGTAACCCTTTAATCCTGTGTTACTCAGGTGGGTTGCTAAACCTACGTAGCCCATGTGTCCCCAGCAGAAAGATCAGTTGGGTCTTTGAGTCTTCCTTTAGTGAGGAAGACTCTTAAGCCTCAGCGCAGTGGTATTCACTTTATAGTACTTGCAGATTTAAAGTTTTTCTCCTCGTAATAGAAACCCACATCATGTTGATAGGGCTTCTCTTCTGTTGCCGGGGATGTGGTTCTCAATCTCACCTGTTCCTTAACCCCAGCCTTCTCTTGATCAATTTTTGTGCAGTTAGCCAAATATTTGTGATCAATTTTCACTGGTGCCTTTGCTTAAACCGGTCTTCCCATCAGGAATGTTATTTTCGGCAAAGTGGGGTGGCTCACACATGTAGTACCAGTGCTTAAGGAAGCTGAGGCAAAAGGATCTTAAGTTGGAGCCCAGCCTGGGCAAGTTAGCAAGACCTTGTCTCAAATAAATAAATAAATAAATAAATAAATAAATAAATAAATAAAATTTAAGGTCTGGGGATCTAGCGCACAGTGAAGGTCCTGAGTTCAATCCTCAGTACTATCAAAAAAAAAAAAAAAAAAAAAAAGAAGAAGAAGAAAAAAAAGTCTCAGTCTTGGGTATAGCTTAGTACTGAAGGCCTGCCTAGCATGTGGAGGAAGGCCCTGGGCTCATCAAAGGAAAAAAAAAAGAAAAACCAAGCTCAATGCTGTGAGGATTCCTCTCTGCTTACCCACATCTTTCATGTTTCTGAGGATCCTGCCCTCACCAGCCAATAGTGAACTCTTCCAGTTCTTAATGATCTCTGCCCTAGGACTTCTAGCATTTAATTGGCATGGCACTGGGTTCCCACAGAGTCATAACCACAGTCTGACCCACTAGGGGTTTAAAGATGGGGGGTGTTGCTCTTCAAGAGAAGAGAATAAATTAGCATTTGAAGAGAAGGGGTCGTCTCAGGGTGTGCTCTCCTCTAGCCTTGCTAACCTAATCACCTACAGTCTCTGCAGACTCCTGGAACAGCAGCTGTGCTTTCTTTGATTAATTTTGGGTGTAGAGCGATTGTGGGACCATGTATTAAGAAGTCTTGCCCAGCAGTATGCACTGTAAACATGAATTGTCTTTAAAAATGTAAGTCACTGTTCATTTATTTGACAAATACTTAAGTGTCTTTTTTGCTCATCAGAGAAATAAAATACATTCATTATAATTCCCTTCAGGCCTGAAAACCTTAATTGGTATACATGTTAGAAGAGCAATGGATGCGGTTGGAACAGTTTAGGTACTTACCTGTTTGGGGTGGATTTATTTACAGGATTTTTCTTCTTTCTCAAAGCCAAAGACTCTGTTTCCTTTAGCATTTACTCTCCTACCCCCATCCCGAAGCAGTGATGACCAACCTGTGATTTCTGAACTTTAGTATTAAATTTATCATTTATAAATATTTCCAAAAGGCAAAAGAGACAAAGGCAAATTAAAATCCAATGTCTTTGCTTTCAGTGGGAGTGGCAATCCCACAGGTCTGTAGCCTAGGTCTTTCATGCCCATCTGTAGTTCTGATTGGTAGCTTTCTTAGTGTGTCTTTGATGAAAAATAATAGCAAAAAGCAAACAAAAAAAGGAAGTAATGCTTAGCTAACATGCTTTGCTTGATAAATCTCTTTGAAACCATATTTTTTGTGTGTGGGGGGATAGAGAAATAGTATTAGGTGGTTTATGGTTAGCATAGAGCTGCTTTACAGGCTGGATAATCAGTGCTTGTTAAAATTAATACAAAGTAGGTTCTTCTGTGAAAGTGGGTTGAAGGATGTGTGTGTCCCCCCCCCCCCCCGCATGCCTATAGAAGGAAGAACACAGGATTGCCGAGAACCCCAGGGCTGTTCTTTAGGATAGATCATTCTGAAGTCCAACTGCCACAAGTGCTGTGTGTGTCTAGGCCTATGTGAACCCTGGGTTTTGTACTTCTTTTGGAGCTGAAGGAGGAGAAAGGGGATTTTAGGTGTAGATAATTTGTCTTGTATTTGTAGTTTCCTGGGAGGATCAAGGGTACATTTGGGGTGGCCAGACGAATTCTGCTGGATGGTGGGGAGGCACCCAGGCCTCAGATGTTCTGTGAGTCAAGTGCTTACCGACCATCTGTCTGCGAAGGTGGTGGAAGGCACGGCAGCCTCACTGTGACAGGCCAGGCACAGAGTCTCCTGAGTGGATGGCAGGGAAGGAGCCAGGGAAGAAGGCTTCCTCAGTGCTTTCGTTGAGTCACAGTGAGACGACCTCATTCTGCAGCTGGCCTGTTGGAGAGTTAATGAAGGGAACAGAATTCTCAGGAAATGACTGATTAAAACAGACTGTGGAAATTTTCAAGGCAACCTGACTTTCCGAGGACTGTATGTTTTAAAGGTTCCAAAGGCTTTGAATATAACTGGGGAGCGTGTTTTATTGACAGATTTTGGGCTTAGAATTTGAAGTCCTGGTTGGGTTTTGCTTTCCTGTCTTATTACTTAATCTCAATGAACCAGATTTTCAATATTCAGCCTTTTTTACATCTTGGTAAAATATTTCTGAGTTCCTACGTTTTCATCACACAATGCCCAACCATTTGAGTGGTACAAATTCCTCTTTGAACTTCTGCCACTTGCTCATGTTTTTTACTAATGTAATGACAAATGACACACATTTTCATATGTTGCTTTTTCTCCCCAAAACTTGGCATTCTAAATATTTCCTGTGTTGCTATGACGTGTATCATTTTGATTACCTGGAATCTGCTGAGTTTTTGTTTTGTAATTTACTAAACTATCCCTCTTTCACTGAGAACACTAGGGTAATCACTGTCTTTTCCCTCCTGTATTTTGGATAGTTTCGTTAAGCAAGTTTCTAGGAAATCATATTGCTGGGTTAACTCTATTTATAGGTGCAGAGGGCACAAGGGAATTTGCAGGACTCTATCATTCAATTTAATTAGACGTGATCTTTGAGTCCTTTCCACGTGGTAGGCTTTCTATTACGTTGTTATCTGTTGCCAGCCCTTGTTGAGGCTTCCTGAAAGTGTGACCAGATATTAAAGCCTCCCCAGGTACCATGTCTTATCTGTGTAAAATCTCAATTTCATATTATTAGTTGCAGTATCAGGAATGGAATCCAGCGCCTCTTGCATGCTGAGAAGGATTTGACCACTGAGATACCATGTTATTTTGAAATAGTTGAAGAAGTTTTACCATGAAAATAGTTATAGTACTCATACCCTTCTTTCAGGTGTGTTAAAGCCTGGGCTGGTGACTGTGTTAGTTTGCTAGGGTTGTGTGTCAGTTAAGGTCCACTAGAGAATCAGATTTAATTATATGTATTATAAAGGATTTATTGCACAGTGCCCCCTGCTGAGTCAGGGGTGAAAGGCTGCAAAATGGCCACCTGGCTGAAATTCAAAGGCCAGAAACTCACTGCAGAGTTTGGTGTGAGCTGTGTCTGAAAATCAGAGTCCATTGAAAGGCTGAAGAATCTGCACTAGAAACCTAAAGGAACTGGAGAGAAACATCCAAAGGAGTTGGCAACTACTGAAGCTCTTCTAAAGAAGCACAAAGGAAAGCTTTCTTTTTTCCCTTTTTATTTCATCAGACTATAAGCTTATTGGTCGGTGACACCCCCATTCTAGTGGGTCTTCCCTGGTCATTCATTATTGGTCTCTCATCTACAGACATACCCAGAACAGTGCTCCATTGCATTTCTTAGTCCATTCACATCGACATCACTTAACTATCAGAGGCTGCCTTAACAAATTACCACATCGAGTGACTCAAACAATCAAACTTCATTGTCTCATAGCTTTGGTGATCAGAAGTCCCAAACCAAGGTATTATCAGGGTTGGTCCTCCTGAGGGCTGTGAGGGAAAGAGCCCCCCAGGGTTCTCTCATTCACTGCAGCTGGCCATTTTCCTAGTATGTTATCTTTTATTTTCTTCTTTTTCTGCAAGTCTCTCTGTGCCAGTGCCCTCCTTTTATAAAGACAACTGTTTAAGACCTCATCTCCACAGAAGGTCACATCCCTGGGGTGGGGTGGGGGATCCTTGAGGTCATGGGTGTTCAACACCTGATTTTAGGGGAGTGGGACACTGCTCTCTGACAAACTAAATGAAAATGGGCCACAGACACCTGAGTGGGAGCTGAATTAGAAGCCCTGACTACCTTCCGCCAGTGAGATAGACACCCACTAGCACAGAACAGTGGCTTTTAAATATTTCTTTCTCTCTCTTTCTTTTTCATTTTCTTTCTTTTTTTTTTTTTTTTTTTTTTTTCCTTTTTTTTGGTCTTTTTCAGACAGGGTCTCTCTATGCAGTTCAGGCTGGACTTGAGCTCACTTTGTAGCCCAGGCTGGTCTCCAACTCGCAGCAATCCTCCTGCCTCAGCCTCATGAGTGCTGGGATTACAGGCATGAGCCACCATGCCCAGCTTCTCTTTCTTTCTTTCTTTCTTTGCTTTTTTAAAATTAAAGGCACAAAAGAACTCTTTCAATACATAAAGAGGTGGCTTCTTGGTGCTTGGTTTTATAAAGACTCATTCTCCTGTGTAGAAATAACAGAGGCCAGGGGGTTCCTAGGTCTTCCCTATCAAAAGTGCTACAAAATACTATCACCTGGGTGGCTCTGTCATGGCTCTGGAAGCCACAAGTCCAGAATCAAGGAAGAATCTCGGCTTGTGGCAGCATCACTCCAGTTTCTGCTTCTGTTTCATATTTCTTCTCCTCTTTTCCTGTGTCCCAATCTCTTCTCCTTCTGTCTCTGAACAATTATCCAAGTTATTCGATTTAGGATCCACCTGGTGAGTACAGAGTGATCTCATCTCAAGGCCTTTAATTTAATGAATTTGCAAAGATCCTATTTACAAATAAGGTTGTAGTCACAGGCACCAAAGGTTGGGATTTGAAGTCTTTTGTGACCACTCTTCAATTCATCCACAAGGCTTCCCAGCTGACCTGACTCAGTGACCACACGTTTGGAACCCTGGCCTCATTCCACCCAGCTCTGTCTGATAGATCAGGAGCTCCTTGGGGCCACTCCTGTCTTGACTGGATGATTAAGGGGTCAGGTCCTGCCTTCTTACCCCTTATACTTCTGGGGTATGTTCTTCATTCTGTTCTCTTGGATTCCCCTCTCCTGCTCCCTACATTCTGCAGGTCATGAACTGCTGGTATCCTCCCTAGGGAGATGGTGGCAGCAGGAAACTACTCTCTTCCTAGGAAGGCAGCCCATCTTGCCCTCCAGGAGCCCTCTAGGAGCCCTCCATATACACAGGAAGAGTTTGCTACTGTTCCCACTCTCAGGGGAATACAGACTCTTAGACTCCTGGCTCCACCCCCACTCTGGGAGGCCTCCCAGGATCTATAAAGGCCCTTAACAAACTGCTTTGTTGAGGTTTCACCTTATAGGCACCAAACACATTAAAGTGCTCTCAGTTCCACATTAAGTGCTCCATTTTCCCATAAAGTGATCAGAGGGATTTTTATAATTTTGCTTTGTAAAGTATTAGAAGCCATACTTTAATTTATAATTGGCAGCTGTTTCTTGGCCACCATTATGTACACTTAGGCATATTCTGAAAGTGAGAAGCGCTAAACCTCAGATTGGAATTTTCATGAATACCAAAGTCAACTATTAAGGTTTTATGGATGCTTAAACATTTATTAATTTAAATTTCTACAGGTTTTTCTAAAATTTCTTTTGAGCCAATACCTAGACTTTGAATTCAACCTCCTGGAGAGATGCTGGTCCACAAGTTTCTGACTATTGAGATTCTCCTGCTTTTTGCCAGTTTGCTTTTGTATTCTTACTCAGCCTTTAATTTCCACTAGAGTTGGAAGGCTCAGTCTCTCATTTTCCAGGCTCCTGGGTTGCCTTCTTCTTCCCTGCGTGCTATGGCTTTGACTGGACTTTTGTCTCTAGTTGTGGGTCTTGCCTGTGCTTTCTTTGTATCTGTAATATTCGATTTATAAACCTTTCTGGGGGCTTTTTTTTCTGAATATTTGAGCCTACCCAGATTTTCCTATTTTGGCACAGTAGTCTCTTCCAATCTGGTCCTGCCATCTGAGTCCTAGGGACACCACCTGCTTCAGGGGCAGGAAAGTGTGACTTACAGGCACATCAGGCCCCATGCTTAGAAGAACCTTCACCTGGTTAAATGCTCTTCTGTCACTGCCTTAGATTCTCAATCTTTGAACATGTGTCTTGTAAGCAATGTTTGATGGGACGATAGAGTCTGCATGTTGTTCAAAGAAATACAAAGAAAAGAAATGGCTTTATATTTTAGCACTTTAGTAACACTTTTCCCCCGACCCACTGTTTTTTGAACTAAGGTGCTGGGGACTATGAATTATAACCTGATCTAGTCCTGCCTTGGGCCGGATTGGAATGTGGAAACTCTGCTTTTTTCTGATCATAACTGGAAACCCTAGGAGTGATGACTGCTGTGCACTTACAGGGCAAGATAAGACCTGCTGGAGACACCTGGGGGAACTACACCCCTGTCCTTGTCCTTGCAAGAATGCTTTGAATTTAGCCCCCTTATCACCAGCACCTGTTCCCGGAAACACCCACTGCTCTTCACTCATTGTCCTTGACTCAGATGTGATGAATAAACATCAAGGTTCTGAGTGGCTTGTGACATTTTGTTCCCTCAAAGCAACTGGTTATCCCAGACCCCTACCTGTGCCTTTGATTTGTCTTCACTCTTTCTTTTCTTTCCTGCAGTATGCAGGTAGCTCCAGATAGGAGCTTAGAGTCCACTGCATAGTTCTCTAAAACAGGGCCTTTCTTTCTGTTTGTACTGGTCTTCCCTGGGAATGACAGTGGATGAGGACTTGTTAGCCACTAACAAGTGGTCACAGGGGCCCTGGGATGATGCTATAGGTAGGAGGCTGGTTAAATCTTCCTCTTCATTGGCTTATGAGACACACATTCAAGAGTAAAGGTGAAGGGCAGCCAGGTATGTACCAACTGTCGAGGGGTCACTACCAAAGCCCTTCAAGAGTTTGTATATGGGAAGCTCTGCCCTGAAAAAGTGTCCTTATGACATCCTCAGAGCATTAAATTATTGTAATAACCTAAGGCCCCCCAACTATCTCGCCGTGAAGCCTGTTCTGTATAAGCCCGCCTGCTGCTCTCCCTCCTCTTCCCCCTTCAAATCTAACTAGGTTAAGTTTTAACATCCTAAAAGGCCATAAAACAAAGGCCTGAGGTGATAGCTCCAGACAACCCCTTCCCTACCCCGTAGCCTTCACAAATTGTGTTACTTGCATTAGATTGTAATAGCTTCGTTTGTATCATAGCAATACCTGTGTGTTCCTTTTCCCTCTGGGTAAAGGATTGATATGTTAGTCAATGCTCTCCTGTGTAAAGAATTGTAAAACCTTACCTAATTGATATGTTAACCATTGTTGCCCTCTACAAATAACAGTTGTGGTGCTAAAGTAAGGTAACTAAGGTTGTTAATTGCTGTTAGACTTCTCTATTCTTTGCTAAGAAAAACAAGATTTCTTCTTATCTAAACTTGGTAGTATGCAGGGAGACTTGCTTACCCTTACCTGACCTTGCCCTTCCCAAGAGTGTAAGCGGCTCTTTCCGTTTGCGCCACACCCCCATCCCCTTCCTTACATTGTGTGACCTGCAGCTGTTTGTGGATTTACAAGATAAAAACCCTGACTTTTAGCTGTCAGGTACGCAGTCTCCATACTGGCTCCCGGAGACTTGTCACCAGGCCTGGAAATAAAGCCTTTCCTTCCCAAATTTTAATTTCTTGCTTCTTTGGATTTTATACCGGGGTCCGAGTTATCACAATTATCAAGGTCCAAATGTTGAGAAGGAACAGAGCACAGGGATATTTTAGTGCAGGTATCTTCTGGAGCAGTTATGCCAAATTGCAAAGACCAGTTGGACAGTTGGTTCTTTTCTTTCTTGCGTTTTAGGGTAGGTCAGATACTAACTCGACAGATAATTCTTGAAGCTCACATTAAATTTTAAGGCATGAAGGACGATAAATAACAGCCAGTCCAAAATGTGAAAGGTTGGGAAACAAAACATGGGAATATCCAATATAAATCTCATGAAATAATTCTCAGAATGACGTGATGATAAAAATCACTCCTTAAAATTTAACTTGAGTTTCAGAAGTGGCTGAATCTTCAGCCTGTGTGATGCTGGGATTAAACTGTGTGACACTGGACTTAGGGTGTGTGGTTACAGAATCAGTCCACTGACTGGTTACACATAGTGTGGATAACGGGAAGCCCATCCTGGGTGTGGGTGGCAGCATCTAATAGGTGGGCAGCCAGGAAGGGACAAAAGGGAGAGACTTTTGCCACATTGCTTGCTGCTGTTTATCCTGCTTATTTGCCTTCTGCTTGCCATGAACTATTTCTCCTCTGTGATGCCCTTCTGCCATGCTACCCTGCCTTGGAACCAACCAGTATGGACTAAAACTTCAACCAACTGTGAGTAAACATGCCTTTCCTCCTTTAACTTTGGGTATCAGGTATTTTGTCTCAGCAATGAGAAAAATTATCTAAACCATTACTATTTATCTAAGCATTTACTATACTCCAGGTACAGATGGTACAGCAATGCAAATGGCAGGTGTAGTACTGCTCTCATGGAACTTCCATTTGGAAAAATACAGGAGGGCTGGAAAGGTCTGCATTACATTGGCTATCGAAGAAAGCTCTCTTTGAAGAGTTGACATTTGAGCCAAGATCAAAATGACAAGGAACCAGCCAGGTGGAAATTTGGGGGACAAGTACTTCAGGTAGAGAGGATGGAACAGCAAGTACAAAGGCCCTGAGGCAGGAGCCGGCTTGGTGTTCTAGGTGATGGCACAGCAGCCTGGCTGGAGGCAGTGGGAGGAGGGGTTGGGGAGTGACTTCAGGGAGTGCAGAGGCTGATGGAAAGAACCTGGGTTTTCCTTCAAGCCCAGCAAGGAGCCCTCAGAGAGTTTCAGTAGCTGAAGGGCATGATTGAATTTATGTCTGAAAGATGGCTTTGCTTGTTTTGCAAAGAGTGGATGGTTGGGAGGGCACAGCAGGGAATCAGGAAGATCAATTCTGTGGTCAGTGCAAGATGGAGAAGGAGAACTGTTTGGGCAAAGCAGCTCAAAGAGAGGTGGAGAGAAGAGGATGAATTATAGGTAAATTATAGGTAAATGGGAAAGGCTGAGTCTCAAATCCACTAAACAAACAATAATAACCCTTAGCACTTTAGTAACAGTTCTATAAACTGCCTGTTGCTTTTACTTCTATGCAAATCTGAGAACCAGTTCTGGCTGGGCTTCTTAGCCTCACAGGTAGAGAGAGGAATTGGATGGCCTGGGATTAAAGGCTCATTTCAGTCCTCGTGCCAGGTCCACGGTCAGGCTGGAAGGGCAGGTGAGACAGTGGATGAGGGAAAACCAGCAGAGAGCTTGACACAGAGTAGATGCTGAGAAAATACAGGATGAGTCAATGAATGGGTGAATAGAAGAGGGAGGGAGGGAGGGAGAGAGGATGGGCGATAATTACTGAGGATGACTGCTGGGCAGAATGCTGGTGCTTCAGGCCAGGTCACAGTGACCGGGGAGAGCACAGCCTCATTCCCTGGTTGGGGAATGAGGGGATGGGGAGACTGAGGCTGGAGTGGTGGGAGAATCTGTCCAAGGAAACTCAGATGTCACTTCTTCTATATGGTCAGATTCTGAAGCTGGATCTCAATGATGGCTTTACCTCTTTCTGGGGAGGAGGGTAGGAGGGAGAGAGGGAGAAAAGGAGAGGGAGATGGTGATAGGGAGAGAGAGACACGAGAGAGAGAGAGAGAGAGAGAGAGAGAGAGAGAGAGAGAGAGAGAGAGGCAAAGGTGGGGTCATTGAGGACTGGGCTTCTCTGTGGAGGCTCTACCCTTTTTGTGAAGCTGCTGGCTAATTCCCTCCTTACTCCACTCCAGTCTTTCAGGAAAGGCTGCTGGTGACAGATCGGGTGACAGTGATTCCTCTGGAAAGGACCACTGACCATTCTGCTTCCATACGTGTCAGCATCAGTCTCAGGGCCCTTGCCACTTGGGAAGGAGCCCTTGAAGCTATAAAGCACCTGGCCCACTTTTGTCCACCACTGCTCTGTTCTGTTCATGCACACAGCACCTCTCTCTCAACTGATGAGCGCTTCAGGACAAATCTGTCCCCATAGGAGAGCCAGGGATGGGATGGGGAATGTAACTTTAAGGAAATATTTGCTTCCTGCCAGGCCTACAGCACATGAGGAAGTGTTCGGAAGGCCCCAGCAGTTGGCATGTTTAAAGGGTGTGTGTAGATGGGTTGTATTCAGAAGGATCGCTGACGGCTGGATTGTCTCTTGGTGAGCTGGCTCTCTGGCATTTGGAGTCTGTGTGGCTTAGGGGAAAGGAGATCCTCCTTTGAACAGGATGGTACTGGGCCTCATCCTCTGAGCCCTGAACTGGAAGGACATTGTCCCTAGAGACAGCTAGGCTTGGCTTCCCACAGTGCCCTGCCAGACTCAATTTCCTTATCTATAAAGTGAAGATAACCATAACCCCTTTTAAAATTGTTGTGAATTGTAAATAAGGAGATGATATAAAGGTAGAGAGTGGGGCCCAGGTTGTGTACTCAGCAAATGTTAAATGTCCTCCTGTCACCCTGCCACCCTGCCTTGGAGCCAACTGAGTGTGGACTGAAACCTCCAAAAACTGTAAGAAATAAACCTTTCCTTTCCCAACTTCGGTCATCAGGTATTTTGTCTCAGCGACCAGTAAAAGTAACTAAGACACCTCCCCACCCTCCCCACACCCAACTTACCCCTGTACCTCCTCCCAGGGTGTTTAGGGGATAGGCTATGATATGAACTGCTGTGCTGGCTGGGGTGCTTAGTGAGGAGAAGGGTCAAACCCTAGGTCTGTGTGGCTGCAGTAGCGACAAGAGAGCCTACACTGTGGAAGGAGTCCTTAGGATCCAGATAAAGTTCTGTGCACCTCTGAGGATGGCGACCCTTTTCTAACCAGCGCTGAGACAGGTGGGAAATGAGCTCAGGGCAGGGTGCAGGGCAGATGGTATTAAAGTTGGCCTGGAGGGACTGGGGGAGAGGGGGGGCTTAGATTTGGGGAAGTGGGAGGTGAAGGGAAATTGAGTAGAAATAATATCTGGGGATGTATCTGTTGGTGCCAGAGAGGGAAGACTGTAGTAGTTGTGCAGCCCTGCTTGGTTGAAGGACGTGAGGAGAAAAAAGAAATCTAAGAAAGTATAAGTGCTGTTGTAACTCCAAAAAGCTTGAATTGCAGATGGGGAAGTTTGAACTTTATGCAAAGAGACTAGGCGCTACTGAAAATCTATAAGCAAGACCAGAGTTTGCTGTGCCTTAGGCAGGTCAGTCTGGTGCACAGAACAGGGTTGGGTGGCAGGAGGTGATCACTAGAATGGAGGCCAGAGGTCAAGAGGCAGAATTCCCACAGGGCCAACAAGAAAAGATGGGGTGGGAGGAGTATTTGGTTAACTCTTCACAAATTTTTTTGGTCTGCTTTTCATTATGAAAAATTTAAACACTTAGGACAGAAGGATTTGAAGGCATCCTAAGGAAAATTTAATGAATCCTTTTGTGTCTCTTCCTTGGCTTCCGCAGTGATAAATTGGGCCAATTTGGTTTAATCTCTAGTCCATACACGTTTCCCTTCCACAGTATTTTGTGGCAAGTCCAAGACACAAAATCATTTCATGGCTTCTGTAGTGCGCAGGAGGGGCAGTGTTTCTGGGGCCACACTGATGGGCTGTGCCACCTCGGTGTGGTTTGCTGGTCACATAACAACAACATCATCACCACTACCACCACCAACGCCTTCAGCATAGGTCTGTTCCAGAGATGGCATAGGACATCCTCATATTAAAGTAAATTACTTGTTGTTTATTTGAAATTCGAATTTAACCAAGGATCCTATGTGTATTTTGTTTTGATTTGGTTACATCTCACCATCCTCCCACCCTAGTCTTCTCATGGAAGCCAGAGGGAGCAAAGCCCTTGTCCCAGGGCAGTGGCTCTCGAGGGTGGCCCTGGGACAGTATCCACAAGGCTGCGTCCAAAAGAGAAAACCCCAGACGCAGCTAGAGTGACACTGCACCCTGGGTTTGACATCTTCTGGGTGATTCTGATGGACGATGTGGTTCGAGGACCACTGACCCAGAGAATGATGTGCTACTCCCCCATCTGCTCCTCACTCACGCCACGCTCACCAGATACGGAGCAACACCAGGGACCTCACCTAGGGCTCTCTGGGCGTCTGCGCCCTCTCCAAGACCGCCCGCCCAGGCTCTCCGGCTGCGCTCAGACAGCTCCGCGCTCCGCCTCAGGGATCTGCTCCGCCCGCTCCGGTCCGTTCCCGACCCGGCGGAAGGCTGTGAACCAGAGAATTAATTCTTCCGGCGGGCTTTTCCAGGAGCGGCGGGGCGGGGCCTGGCGGCAGAACGGCCACGTGCGTCAGGGGGAAGCAGGAAGTGACTGCCGGAGTGGAGCCGTTGGAGCGAGCCGAGCGGGGGCTGATGGAAGTGGAGTGGGGGCTGCAGAGGGCACCCCAGTGAGTCGGCTTTTCTCTCCTTCAGCGCCCGCGATTGGGCCCGAGGCCCGGGGTCTGGGCCGTCAGGACAGGAGTGTGGGACTTAAGGGCAGCACCTGGAGCTGGGCGAGGGGTGGCCCTGGGGAGACGAGGGAAGGGGGCTGGAGGGAGGGGAGGCTGGAGGCTTTGGCAGGTGGCAGCGGAGGGGGAAACCCCCTTCCAGCCTCTCCCCTCCAAGGAGACTGCCCGCAATGAGGTGCGGCCTTCTACAGTCCTCAGCCGTGATCCTCCTCATTCATTGCTTCCTGGTGGGTGTGTGGGGATCCCGGATCCCTGAGAGCAGAGGTGGCTACTACAGCTAGCAGCCCAGTGGCTCCTCCTACTGGCTCTGAAATTTGACCGGGAACCTGTGTAACCTTCAGCAGGCTTGGGTGAGGCCTGAGACTCTGCTTGTCTAACCTCTGCTGCTTCTCCGACCACACTTGGAGCAGCAAGGTATCAAGAGAACTTTCCCGCTGTCGCAGCCACCCAAACCTGAGTCTTCCTTGGCTTCCTCTGGTGTGAGCGGCAACTGTGCATGCAGGTTCACCAAGGCCTGGGCAGCCCAGGCGTTGTTTCTACTTCTTGCAACTTCGCTGATGTTTGCAGCTGACTCTTAGAAGCAGAGCCACAGGTGTGAAAAGGGGAGGAAAATATAGAGAGGAGACTGCAGGAATGCCTCCCAGGCGTCTGTAGCAGAATGTGTCTGCACCTGGGGGTGGTGCTGGCTTCTTTGAAGTTGGTGAGGGCTGAAGGAGCTTCTTACCTGCTAACTCCTCAGGGCTGATGGTGTGAATATCCAGTTAATGAGGATGTCTGAGCCCCACACTGTGAATGACTTTGGAGGTAACAGTGCTGGCACACCACACCCGTATGGGGCTACTGTTCTTTACTAGCTGTACCAGTCCCCTGCAGGGCAGGATGACTTACTATCTAGGCTCGTAGTCTTGTAGACATCATTTCAGTTTCAGAAAAGTTGCCTTCCATGCTTTCTTGTGCATTAGAATCCCCCACGGAATTAGGTAAGATGCAGATGTAGTCTTCAGAGTCAGAGTCTGGCTTGGGACCTGAGATCTGTGTTCCCTAGGTGGCCCTCAAAAAGGATCAGGTTTGGCCCCTGCACCACTCTTTGAGGAGTGAGGCTTTCTGACAGCAAATAGGAGACAATTTTCCAAGGGATGCTGGATTGACAGTGGCCCTGACAAATTCAGGATGGCAGGGACGTGACCTTATCCCCCTCTTCACTTCTCAGGATGCTCAAGTGTAAGTGGGGATGGTTTAGAGGAGCATTTTCCTGTTCCCTCCTGTGTGATCACTAGCTCACAAAATCCACTTTGACTTTGGTTAGTTGTCAAACGAGTTGTTTGTTTTGTTCTGTAGCTGTTAAAAGGGGCCAGGGGAACTAAAGGTATTTTGTATTGTGATCCATCTTGAATGATAAATCATAGGAGGATAGCTCTATGTCTTAGTAAATGTTGGAATTTCATCCACAAGCAGCTAGAAATAAACAATTGGGGTATCTTGAACCAGGTATCTTGGTTAAAAAAACACAAACCACTCTTTTAGAGTATTTTAAAAAGATGACAATTGTAAATAGAACAGCTCCCCAAAAATTATCTTTTTCATTAATTAGTGTAGTCTCCATCCTGAGTTCTGTTGGACTATGGGGACCACGGTCTGAACAAATCATCTTTGTCTCAGAGGTTTCCTAACAGCAGAGCCGTGTCTCACCTGGGTTTATCTTGGTTTGTCTGAGATCATAGCCTTTCCTAGGTTGGAAGTTGGCCATGTTGCTGAACCGTTGGGTGTAAGGGCCCCTGTCACCCACTGCCACAGTTTCCAGGATCGACAGGGACAGCACATTGACTCTTGGTCTGTAGTCTCAGGGTAGCTGGCTCCTTAGTACTAAGGCTGGGCAAGACTGAACCCCTTGTGGTTGTGTCCAGCTCTGTGGGTGATAAGAAGCCAGTGGGAGCTGAATGAAGCCTTTGACGCAAGCCCCTGAGCACTAGGGACCAGAGCACAGAGCTGTTCAACCCGTGAGCTCCTTTGGCCTATAACTTTCCACGGGGAAAGGTCTGGTTCCTTGTCATTTCAGAACGAGAACTTAAGCGCAAGAGGTTTTGGGCCCCATAAGAGGGAAGAGTGCTTACCTTCCTTCTCTTGGTGGGCAGTGGTGTGACTCCAGTTTCAGCAGCAGCATGCTGGGTTACCCTAGGGAAATGCTGCTTCTGCGTCTGTTTCCTTGTCTTTTCCAACTGTCCTGTCCAGGTAAGCTGGCCTTTTCCAATTCAGCAAGTATTTTTCAGAAACCACAAAACCCTATTTCAGAGGGTTGTGCAAAGGTATCACCCTTGTTCTCTAGCACCTAAGGTCGTGAAGACCAAGGAAGCTCACTCAGAGCCACTGCCCAGTAAGGGGATCAGGAACGACTTTGTCACGAAGTTGGCAGCAAGTGAGCTGCAGGGGATGGTCTGAGCTCTAATGGTGGCTGTGTGGGAGGAAAGTGCTCCAGAAAGGAACCGTTTGAACAGAGGCCTGGAGAAAGGACAGGCTGGAGATTCTTCAAGATGCCATAAAGAATTTGGTTGCGCTGGATGACTGTGCAGAGTGTAACAGGCATGGGCTTGACGAGTCTATGGGGGAATGGAAGGTCATTGGGTGGAATTTCCCCTGTAACAGTTCAGGGATTGAGAGCTCTGATTAAGAATTAGATGGAGAAGTTTAAAGGGAACCTGAGCTAGTTACTTGTCTCTGGAGGAGAGAACAAATGATGGGCAGGGGCAGGTGAAATCTTCAGGATGAGCCTGAGATAAGCCCCTGGATGTGTCAGATCTTGGAACCCTTCCTCCTGGCCACACTACCAGCAGTCTTTGTACTTCTCTGGAACTAGCTCTCAATGTTGCAGCATCTTGTGAGGCTCCCTGCATGTCCCATACTGCTTTTTAGAGTTAGATACTTCTCAGTGTTGGGATGCAACACTGTAACACACTGTAACCTGTGTGCTGGGCTGTTGAGGGCCCTTGGGTTGGTATGGCAGAAGGGTGCATGCCACCACTCCAGATAGAGACAACTTAAACGGGAGTAGGACACAGAAGAACAAGTGTCACCAAAAGGGACCTGTGGTGGCTGACCCTTTGCTCCTCTGCACACAGCTATATCCATCATGCTGCAAGGCCACAGCACTGTGTTCCAGGCCTTGCTGGGGACCTTCTTCACCTGGGGGATGACGGCAGCTGGGGCAGCCCTCGTGTTCGTATTCTCTAGTGGACAGGTGAGTTGCCTTGCTTTGGTTCTGCTGGTTAGTAGGCTCTTTTATGACCCTGCCTGCCTGTGCAGGGTGGTTAAGTTTCCCTCTGTCTTCTTATTTTGTGCCCAGCTCCCTCCCCAGCCAGGAGAACAGGTACAGACACCATGCATTATCTTCTTTCCTGCCTCTGACAGCCTAGTTTGAAGGGTTTGGGGGTGAGGAACCCAACCTGACGTGTAGCTTCCATCTCTTTTCTTTTGGGTCTGGAGTAGGGGACACTATGAAGATTGAATTTCAGATACAGCTGTCCTCCCCTGTGGCCTTGGCTTAGCTGGGATGATTAAAGAGACCTTGGGGGAAGCAAAGGATCTGCTGCCTTTCTCTTTTATCCCAGTCCTAGGACTTTGTATTCCTTTCCCTCGGATAACAGGCCACCTGCCCATGTCTCTGCAGAACCCACATTTCTCAATGCCATGCCCAGGTATCTTCACCTTTGGGATGAATATAGGTGGCTGCCTTCCCATGCTCCCCCATACGCAACACCTCCCACCCCATGCCCCTGTGTCTTCCATGTATCCTATAGGCTCAGACCCTCTCTGCATCCTTGCTCACTCTTAGGCCCCTGCAGACTAGCCCCAAACCCTTTATACACCCCTCAGCTCTCTCTTCTCCATGCCCCAGACCCCTAAGTCCGTATGCCTCTTCTATATACCCAACCCAGCCTCCCTGCACAGTATACACCTGCACAGCCCACACCCACGTCTCTTGCCTAAAGACTTTCCTCAAGCCTGGCCTCCCCCAACCCCAGACTCAGAACCTCCCATGGTGTCTTGACAGAATGCACATGAGGTATCTTAAGATCTATTTAAACTTACTGTGAGACTGATCTAGAAACAGGCACATTAGGAAGTTGGCAGGTCAGGCCCTCTTGTGTTAGGGACCAGTCCAGCCGGTATTGATTTCAGCAATAAGATCTTGCTTCCTACACTGCCTCCCAACCTCCTGGGGGAGGCTTGGAACCAAGCCATCAGAGACATGGAACACAAATCGCACAAGCTGGAATCACTGGGTCCAAGACACTTACAGATGGCAATTTCATAGAAATAGAAAGTGGAGTGGTAGGTGACAGGGCTTGGTGAGGAGGAATGATGCAGAGTTCTTGATAGAAAAGAACTGTGAACATAGATGGTGTATTTCTCTTAGTGTAATGCCCTCAAGGCTCAGCCATGGTGTCCCACATGCCAGTTTCTTTTTCTTTTTTTTTTTCTGGTACTAGGGATCAAACTCACAACCTCATGCTTGCCAGGCAGATGCTTCTGCCGCTGAGCTAAATCCCCAGCCCCTCTTTTTTTTTTTTTTTTTTTTTAAAGGCCGAGGAATATTCCATTGTACGTGCATACCATGTTTTGTGTATCCACTCATCTATGGATGGGCACAAACCTCTTGTTACTAGGATAGAAGACTTGTACAGAAAAGTGCACATTTTATAAGCTCACAGCTGATCACTTTTCATAAATAACATGAAACTGTGCCCAGATCAAGTACCAGCCTCTTACAGCCCCTTCATGTCTCCTTCCAGACTGCCCCCTCTCCCCACCACCTCCACTCCACAGGTATGTCTCACAGCATGCGTGGTTTTTCCTAGTTTGGTGTTTTATTTAAATGGACTAATCTTTATACAGTAGGCGCTGGTCCATGTGTGTGTGAGTTCATTCTGTTTGTTTCCCAGTTTGCTTTATGTCCTGGCCTATTTTATATATATAGTTATAAATGCACACAGTGTATGCAAACGTTTTCTCATTGTCCTGTGATCTTCTGTTGTATGAATGTATCCTAACTGCTGTATCTGTTCTTCATCTGGGGAATTTGACAGTTTTTGGTTTTGGTGTCTCACATGCCGTACTGCTGTGAACGTTTTTGCAAATGTGTGTGGTGAGTGTGAGTGTGTGTTTTGTTAGTTATTACTCAGGAGTAGCAGGAGGTGCAGTCACTTGTCTCCGGTGCCATCTAAAAGTTTTCTAGCGCGGTCATGCTGGTTTGTACCCTGATGTATGAGAGGGGCTGTTGTTTGCCTGTATCTCCCTGACCTTTGGTAATTTCCATTTCTTAGAGCGGCTACTTACTGAAGTTCATAGTGGTGATTTGCAGGGGGAGCTGAATAAGAAACCTTCTGTGGGCCTTTGTACCCCTGCCGCTACAGGATGGGATACTTCTGACCAGTTCTGGGAGGGATGGGACATTTTAAAATTTCTTTTCCCTTGGTTCATGGCCTGTTTTGTAAACTCAGGAGGTCCCAGCTAAGGAGTGGACTTGTGGCTCTCTTGGGATTCAGTGGACCAGTTGCTCTCTTGGCCTGGGGCACATCATGCTGCTGTCCCCCAAAAACTGAAGCACCTTCTTTTCGTTTTCAGAGGCGGATCTTGGATGGAAGCCTTGGTTTTGCCGCAGGGGTAAGTTGCATTTAGAAGTGTCAGTGGAGATACATTTATTTTGAAGTGTAATCTAGATACAACTCTGGATTCTCCCAAGTGCTTGTGGTTTCCCATATTCATTTCCCAGCTTATCGAATGCCTGCTTCTCCTTAGATGGTGAAAGAGGAAGCTTGTGGGTAGCTGCCTCAGGACCCAGCAAGGGCCTGGGGGATACACAGCATGAATTAAATATTACTCCCTCCCCTCTTGTTTCTTTCCTTCTTTCTTTCTTTCTTTTTTTTTTTGGTTCCAGGGATTGAACTCAGGACTGCGCTCTTGCAAGGGCGTTTATGCCGCTGAGCTAAATCCCCGGCCTTCCTCTTGTTTCTTACTAAAGGACTTTTTATTATAGGCATTTTCAAACATGTAAAAAAACTGGAAACCTATGTACATCTCAGGTACCCACCCCCCAGCTTAAATCAGGATTCACATTTTGCTAATCTCATTTCATTTGTCTTATTCCAGGCTTCTGGGAAATTGGAGTATTTTGTACCATTGAATTCGATATGTAATTTTGCCTGTAACTTCAGTGTACATCTTTAACTGAATGACTTAAAAAAAATGAGAATCACCAATATTGTTACTACATTTACTAAAATTAACAGTAATTTCTTATTGAAAACCAATACTTTAGTCTATGTTCAAGTTTCCTTTTTTTCCCCAAAAGTGTCTTTTAAGATTGTTTTGGTAGAATTGGGATCCAAACAAAATTTTCATGCTGAATTTGTTGCCTTTTAAGTCTTATTTTTCAGTGGTCCCATTTTTTTCAAGATAGTAATTTGTTGGTAAAACTGGGTTTGTCATTTGTTTCCAGGATGTTGGGAGTTTGGCCTACTGCTTGCTTGTGTCATATAACTTTATCCTGAGTCCCCTCTGTCTCCTGTAAACTTGGAGTCAGACCTGGGCTTGATTAATTCAGATGTCATTATAAATCTGTCACAGTGATGCTGTGTATTCCTGTCATTTTGGTGATATTGAAAGGCACGTAATACATGATTTTTCCTTTTAGTTGATAGAAGTTTGATTCCTTTGTGCTGTCTTATAGGCCTATGACTGGAAAATCTTTTTGAAGGGGGTACCTCGCTGAGGTCATCCCCATGGGCAGCTATCAGACGAGGGCCTATCTTGGAGAACACGGAGGCTTTGCAGCCTGACCCATCTGTGCTGATGGCTAGAGTTAATCAGTGTCTAGGTCCTAGCTTTCTGGGTTGTTTTACTTTCTCACAGCTGGAATGCAGTATCTGACACCAACTGAAAAGAAGAGAAGTTTATTTTGGCTTGCGTTTTGGAAGTTTCAGGCTTTGCATGGGTGGCAGCGTGGTGGAAGGGCCTGGGTGGAGGAAGGCTTCTCTCCTCAAGTCCAGCAGGAAGTAGTGCATCAAGGGAGGAATTAGCAAGGGTGAAGTACCCTTCTGGACTGCATCTGCAGTGACCTGAGACTTCCAGCCAGGCCTTACCTCCTACCAGCAAGTCAGCTACTATGGCCTTTCAGAACTTGAGACACCTTCCAGACACTTGAGGTTTTAGATCGAAGCCATCACACCTGTGTTTTCTTCCTAGTGCTGCTGTATCTAAGGATGCCCCAGAAGTAGTCCTCTTTTCCTCCCTTTCCTTGGACAGATTCCTTCTCTCCCAAAAGAGAAAGGCTGTCTCTTGTTACCTTGTCTCTAGCTAGCAGCATCTCCAAGCTTGAATGGAGGGCTCGTTGGTACTTTGGTGTTGGTGTGGGGAAATAAGGGGAAGAACCCTAATTACTAAGCACTGGATGTAGATCCTTTAGCAATGTAGCTACTATCCTTATTTTTAAAGATGACTCTAATCAGATTGTCAGTGGTGAGATCCTTAAAGTAATTTTCCATGAGTGACTACTTTGGGATCTGGAGCTGGTAACTTAATAAAAGTTGAAAGGACAGAATGACAATATTAGAACACTTCATTTTCCTCTTTCTCCCACCTTTCATTTTCACAAACATATTTTGTTTTCTTATGTTTATAAAGAGAAAAGAACCCAAAGAAAAATAGTTAACCTGACTTATTCTAATAATGTCTACTTAATAATTATTAAGAAGTGTGTGAAAGAATTAAAAAGTAAGAAAGGCCCACCCATTAACATAAGCATTTCTAAGAGTATTTAACTTTTTATTTATTTATTTATTTTTGGTACTGGGGATGAAACTTATGACCTCATGCTTGCCACGCAGGCATTTATGCCACTGAGCTAAATCTCCAGCCGAGTATTTAACTTTTTAATGCTTAATAATTATATGAAGTATTATTAGTGGTTGCTATGTCTTCTGTATTATAATTGTAATAATAAGGCATTCCAGGAAATCATTTTTCAAGCATAGAGCCTTATACTACAGGAAACTTTAAAAAATTAAATTGCAGTATGTATAGATATTCATATGGCAAAGAAATATGATGATGCAATTAATTATACATTTTACAGTATAAAATATAATTTTCTTTAGGCTAGAATTCTGAAATTAAAACACAAGTCAAGAACAAAACAAGAATGAAATAAATTACTGGCTTCAATGAATAATTTGCTTCCAATGGGTCTTTTTGTGTGTGTATTTAGGTGGAATATAACATGGACATGAGCCTGCATAAGACAGAGACACCCTGCATAGTTTATATACTGTATTTTTAACAGGATAATTATGGGAATAAAATGTATATGTTACTTAGATCTTGAATTTAAAGGCTGCTAAAATAGTTTGTTTCTGTTTTTTGTTTGTCTTTGCAGTCCTGGGGATCAAACTCAGGGCCCTGTATATGCTAAGCAAGTACTGTATCTCTGAAGTTATACCAGGGCCCTGCTGAAACAGTTTTATTTAAACAAATTAGTATCTGTGCACTGTAAGACAGAAACATTTTAAATGTCCACTCATAAATGATTGGTGAAGTATCTTGTTTTTCAGCATTCCTGCAAGAGGTACATAGATGTGAAGATCAAAGAACCCTATTCTTTGGTGTCTTTCTGCTTCTGGCCAGACATGTGGGTTTCTTGTTCAGAGTTTGTTTTTATCAGTCAATACTATTTCAGGATTCAGATACAAATGATAAAAAAAAGCAAACCAGTGAAAAGAGATAAAGTGTAAGTCGTTAGGACCTATAAGAACGAATTCTGAAGCATCAAAGCATGAACATGTAAGATGCACTTTCTTTAAAACTTCCATGACACCGTAGATTAGCATGTTTACTTAACTATGGGGATTTGAAATAGTTTTACATAGTTGGTAGGTAAAAAGGATTCTAGAAGTTATGTGTGTATATTTATCAGAAAATAAGTCTCATGGGAAGCAGTTTTTCCCCCAGGGCACAGTTGTGATTTTCGGTTGTCTCAGCTGTGTCTAGTGGGTAGAGGCCTGTGATGCACAGGACAGGATGCTTCAGAAGCAAAGAATGCACAAGGTGTCAGAAGTGTTGAGACCCAGAAGTCTTGGTCTAATTGCAGTTTGGTGTCATCACCTATAGCTACCATGTGAGGTTTTAAATTTTCAGATATAATGTTGAAGAAACACAAAGTTTCCTTTCCTATCCTTTTGGCTTCCCAGAGATCACTGCTATGTCCCCCAAGCATGTGTCTTTGAAGAATGTTGTTTCCTTATATACATACGAAGTATAAGAACAGGCAAGATATGATGGTGCCAGATCTCCTAAAGACATTGCTTCCTGTTAGTCAGCTTTCTGTTACTGTGACAAAATACCTGAGAGTTTAATGGAGGAAGGGTTCTTTTTGGCTTGGCGTCTCAGAGATTTCTGACCATGGCTGGCTCCATTGATTTTGAGAACAATGATGGCAGAGGAAAGCTGCATGCCTCATGGCTGTCAGAAAGCATAGTGAGAAAGCCAGAGAAGAAAGTCAGGGGTCAGGTGGATTCCCTAAGGTCAGTTCCCATCATCCACATCTCTTTAAGTAGGCCCCACTTCTATCTCCTTCACCTTCCAGTAAGCCATAAGCTTACAGTCTCAACAGTGGATTGCTCCACTTGATGAAGTCACTTCTTCAAAAGCCCATCAGCCAGCAGTGTTAAACTTTAGAGGACATTTCAAATCCAAATCATAACACTTCTGTAATCCAGCACTGAATGCTGTGAGTGAATATCTGGAAGAAGAAAACTGGCGCTGAATTGATTGACCAGGTCTCTGGTGCTCCTAACCTGTTTTTCCAGTCTTCTGTGCTGACGTTTGTGTGTGTGTATTGTATGTGCACTGCAATATATAATGCTACAGTGACGGGCTTACACAAGATATAATTGTTTCTCAAAGTGAGTGTTCCAGTAAGAGTGATTCCTGGGATACAGGACATGTATATTTTAAACATATTAAGGAATATATTCACAGGTTATTATTTTCTCATTAGCAGGGTCTTGAAAGTATGAATCAGTTCCCCTTAAATGATTCCAATTGGAATCTCTTTATTTTTCTCCAAATTCTTTAAGTCACTCTCCAAGTCAGTAATTGTCTTTTTTGCTCTGGTTCTGATGTTGATTTGTATCTAAATCAGGAGTAAAACTACTAGGGAGAACTGCTACCATTAAGAAGAAAAAAAAAAGATAGTCATTATTGCTTGTTAGATTCCTAGAATGATATATAGAATAGAATAATTATTACTAGAATAATTAAATCTGGAAAAGACTCGAGATGATTATAATGCCTAGTACTTATTAAGCCCTTATTATGTTCAAGGTGCTTACCAAGCGACCATCTAGTTTAATTTTCACGACATTTCTATGAAGGTTACACTAGGCATGTATATAATTCTCTCCCACTTTGCATGCACAGTGAAAGTAAATGAACTATTCAGTATCATTCTGAACATTGGAACCAGTCTCATAGACGATCTCCTATCCTTAAACCACAATGACTCAGTGACACGTTTACACAACATATCTGGTCCAACTGCTTCTCTTTACAGCCAAGAAGCAAGTGGGCATGTAAATGACTTATACAGAATTGAAAATTGCTAGATA